TCGCGACTCATAACATTCAACGAATTTTATATTTTGAAGAAGACCAAGAAGCAACTTTTTCATTGCTATTCATTTCACAACATGCAAAACGAAATCTCTGAAATGAGGCGCTTAATTATATCAGCATCCCTCTGTTAAAAAAACCATTTACTTCGAATTTGAGCTTCATTCAGTTTAGCGCAAACACTAAGCTGTCCACTGAATATCCTGTGTGTGAATGAATAAGAGAATATAAACTCTTCAATACTAACTACACCGTATCCAAATGTTCGATATGGAAATTAGCACTAGCAATAAAGCACTGCTATTAGGATGTCGAATAACATATATGTTTATTACTGAAAGTATACATATATTCTAAAAGTCCCGTTATTGTTTATATGTAAAACAAATCAAAACCTTTAAGCTGTGAATCACTTAAACAGGGAAGTACGGCTGTCAAAAAAGATGAAAGATACTGTAGGAGCTCGACCGAATGCATTTTCAGAAAACGATTTAACCAAATAAGAGCAGTCATTCGAGTAAGAGTACTTTCTTCAGTACAAGCATGTACTATCAGAACATTGATCATATCATTTAGTTCAGCCTGTAAAAGAATCAAGAAAGCTAAATTTGTTTTTTAAACAGGCCCTTTCCGGTTCAACATAAGTCAAGACAAAGCTTACTCTGTCATTATCTTTCTGGTTGTGCATCCGTTCAAGAAACTGCCCGAGAACTGCTTCAGTGGCATCTCGGACTCCTGGCTGACTATCGCCCAACATTTGGAATAAGCCATCCAAAACTTCGGGAAGGTACCTCGAAATAGATAGCTCCGGTGCTGTCAACAAAGCTGATAGCTAAACAATTCAAATAATTCAACATTTAAGAGTAAAAAACAGCGAATCATTATTTTGAATTCAATGTTTTCAATGCTATAGGAAAAAACTACACCCTATTGATGGAAGTTTAAAACTAATTTACCCAAGAGACAATAAATCTTCGATTTGAGCTATTTTGAGAATATATTCTATCACGGACCAATAACATCAAAGTCGAAATTTCGAATGAGTTCGTAGCAAGTACAATATCCTACAAATTCAAAACAAATTTATCTTGAAAAGTTGAATGCAAGAGTTTTATCTATCTTGGATGAAGAGAGAGACAATATCTTAATTAAAGTTATTGATTTGCATCTTATCCGACGGTAACTTGACAGTTGGTAGTACTAATTTGACGCCATTTTAAAAGATATGTATCTTAAGAATGAAGTCCCACACCTTTAGTAGCCGGTCCAATAGCTCTGCTCCGCTACGCACATTTAAGTCTGTATCGGCTGATAACTGAAAACACAACCAATTCTTACGTTAAAAAAGTCAGAGTGGCATGTTGGCGAATGTGAGAATCAAAGAAGACTAAGAAGAGTGACAGTCCTCACATGGAAGTTATGCATAAACTTACTCGCCAGAGAGTGTCAAAAAGTTCATCGAAATGAGACAACGCAGATGAACGGCATATTTTCACAATATTATACAACGACTGTAAATAAATCTTCATTTAGTAGACGGAAGAAAGAGATCAATAAACTTTGCCGCGATCACATTGCACCCTTTAATTATCAACAGTAAATTTCAATTTGAAGTAGATGTTTTTTCGAAATTTTTTTTAAAGTCATATGCAGCTTCCCTGTCAGTCTCGGTATAAAATAAAAATTTTCAGCACCTTTAATACCTGAACACATATACAGGGTTCAAATCTCAATTCATTCTATAAAAACGGTAGTTTTTTTAAATTAATTTTGCAGATTAATTTCAAGAACTTTCAACCATTATTAATCTCATTATTCTTTGTTAGTTAACCTGATTACTTATTTGACTATTTTGCTCTACTTATTTGATTATTTTGCTCAACTTCATTCAACTTCATTTGCTCAACTTCATTCAACCAAACTGAAGGAAAATTATTCTTCATAGACAGCTTTTAAATATTGATTACTAAATTGCTCATTGAATAATGTTTTATCTACCTCACAAGCATAGTATCGTACTCGAGGATCGGGATCACTGAAACAAGTCAAAACTGGTTCGATCAACTGTGTAGTATAATCAGCGGTGTTCTGAAATATTCGGACAACTAATCCCATACGAAAAGTGTTATCCTTTCGGATAACACCTTGCTTAGCATAAAAACAATTACCATAGAGCGAAAAAAGCATATCAAATTTAATTCATAATTTCAGCCTGGTTTCAATCTCATTTATACCTTACCTTCCCCAAGGCAATAGCTGCAGCTGCTAGACCAATTAGACCACCCTTTCGTGCATGAGCATTTTGTGCTGTTGTCAGTCCGCTTAGTACAGCGAGCAACTTTTCCAGCTGTGACAAACGATTTGCTTGCAGTAAGTCTCGCACTTGTCTGAACAAATGATTAAACAGTAGAAAACTGTAACAGAAATAACTGACAAACCATAAAGTTTTAAAACCACAAAGACATATTTTTAACAAACCCATGAATTACCCATCTGCTCATAATCATATTACATACAATGGTAGAGCTATAATAAAATAAATCAAACTTCTCTATATCAAGAGCAGCAGCTTTCCTCTTCTCGTACAGTTTATCAGTAAGCGTTCTCACCAAAGTTGCAGTAAGTGGTGCATACTGAGCATCAACCATCTCCTTGTAAATTGACCGAGACCAACCAAAGTTTAACTTTCTATTGTGGATTGTTAATCATAATGTACCATTTAATCATAATATACCATTACTAAATCTATATATAAGCATAGCCAATCTATATTTTCCCTTTCCCAGATCAGCAATATCACAACTATAGCATGTCAACAAAAGATTTAACATTCATTCCTTTACCATGCTATACCAAAATAGATCTGCCAAATAACCAGATCTACAACAAGTGTAATGAAAATTTTAACTTTCCAATTTTAACTTTTCAAATTTTGATTTCTCTGCAGTTCGAATGGAATAAATTCACTTATAAAGAAGAAATTGAAATCCATGATAGAGTAACCACTAACTTTCAAATCGAAAAGAATGTAAAGCCCTTAAACTATTCACTTTATCAATCTACTGATTAGGTTATCAAAATAACCTGAATAAGATTTCGAACAGCAACCGCGTTCTTAGAATTCAAACC